AAATTTGGTCCGTGATAATCGAATTGTTTATGGAGGTGGTGCTTGTGAGATCTCATGTGTAAGACGAAAAACAACTGATAACACGGGATCTTGATGATTTCTATTTCTTTTAGGCTGTTGCTGTTGCAAAAGCAGCTAATACGGTATGTAAAATCAAGGTTTTTTTTCTTTTTGTGAAAAAATCAAAATCAAAATCCTACACATATTTTGTTTCATTCATTTAGATTCCAACAATTGAACAGTATGCTATTCGAGGATTTGCTGATGCGTTAGAAGCCATACCATTAGCATTAGCTGAAAATAGTGGCTACTCTCCAATTAAAACCGTTTCGGATGTTAAATCGCAACAAATAACAGAAAACAATCCATATTTAGGCATCGATTGTTTGAATAGAGGAACTGCAGGTATGAACAAGATTCAGTATTGGTGACTATTTAACTATCTGTCTATATTTTAGATATGAAAATTCAAAATGTTATTGAAACACTTATTGGTAAACGACAACAGATTAGTTTAGCAACACAACTTGTTCGTATGATTTTAAAAATCGATGATATTCGTTTACCTGGAGAAGAAGAGGAATAAGATTATTAGAACAATTTCTTTTGAGTTCACGTGTGTTGTGTGTGTATGCGTGTGTGTGTGTGTAGGCCGTTTACATGTTTTTGAATGTCTCTCTTTTCTATCGATCAAAGACCCGTGACACTTGTCTTTTTATACAATAAAAATCAGTCATAAAAAGTGTGTTGGCACATAAGTGTTTTTTTTCTCTTACACTTCATTATACCAAGTTGTTACTGTTGTTGTTATTTCTCTTTTTCTACATGGAAATTTTTCAAAAAAATTTTCCGACGTTTTTCCAGAAACGGCTTTCAATTGAATCATCAAGTTCAAAGACGAAATCCATATAGTCAATGATTATACGGCCGACTAGATATCCTTGCATAAGCATCGATCGCCGAAAAAGAATTTCACTGTTAATTTCTTGATACGATCTTTTCAAGTGGAGTTTGGATAAAATTCACATTCGGCATGAAAAAATGTTTTCAAGAGATTTTCTGCTATAATAAATGTTAACTTCATCAATTCCATTTTATTATCATATTCTTATCTTCATATTTCGTCTTCTTGTCGTCATCTTTTTTGTTTTAGATGTACGTATTCTTTTTGAGCAAGTCATTGACGAAATAAAACTTATTATAATAATTAAACCATTAATATTATTGATAGATTTATCAAGCGTTTGTCTTGCTGTTTAGCTATTGTTATAGATTACTGTTTGTTTAGAATCAATCGTTAATTTATAGAAGGAAATGTTCAACTATTTACAAGCAATGTTAAAAGGTTGAAGTTAAGGGCATCCGCCATTTCCAGTGAATGTAAGAATGGCTTATCATTGACCCATTATTTTTTCAGAATGAATAGATCTCGACGAGTTATGAAACAGTTCGACTTCGAGCGCCTCTTCATTTTACTTCCGCTTACTTTCATTTTTATAGGAGTCAGTAGAGACAAAAACGGCTATTCCTCATGCCACGGTTTCGATCTGAAGGAGTTGACTAATACGGCTCAAACTTTTACCACAGATACAACACAACTAAAACTACGACACTTTGTTTTGGTTTTCGAAACTTCATCTTATTTTGGCCAAAATATCAAAAATACGAAATAGTATGTAGAAATATTACAGTTTTCAACATACTAGATCTTTAAAATCGTTTTTTATCTAAGAAGGAAACAAGTTTTTTGAAAACCAAAAATAATTGTCCTAGTTTTAGGTGTGTTGTAAGGTACCGAAAATTCAGCAGATTTTTATTTTTGCATTTTTTATCCGTGGTTGGATAGTGCGACTCACGCTGATTCAGAAAACATGTTTTTGGATATTTTAAAAATTATTTTCATGTTGAAAAATAGAAAATACTTGAAGAATCTAAATTTTCGAAAAACACTTCGGTTTCACAAACATTCAACTTCTTTTTTTTCGTTGTTCAAACATTTTGAGGCATTTTTTTCACATTCAGTATTAAAAACTGAGTATGCATCTGATGTTTGATTCAGGTTGAAGTCAAAGATCTATGCAGTATGAACGTCTTGGACTCGCACTTTAAAAAGTTCATAAACACTTTTGTAAACCTATCTAGGTATTTTTGTGAAGAGATGAACCCAAAATGTTTACTTCATTAGAACCGCCATTAAACGAACTACAAAAGTATAAATCACTAATTTTTGTTTTGCTTCACCACTGAGAAAATTCATTTTTCCTCATTCAGGAGCGAAAAAGTTGGAATTTTGTCTGTAATTCTCAATTATCATCAGAACTCAACTTTTATCCAATACAAATATCATATTCCTATAATTAGATAAGTTTACAAAATTGTTTATGAACCTTTTATAGGACGAGTCTCAGATGTCCATACTGCATAGATCTTTGACTTCAACCTGAATCAAACATCAGATGCATACTCAGTTTTTAATACTGAATGTGAAAAAAATGCCTCAAAATGTTTGAACAACGAAAAAAAAGAAGTTGAATGTTTGTGAAACCGAAGCTTTTTTCGAAAATTTAGACCCTTCAAGTATTTTCTATTTTTCAGCATGAAAATAATTTTTAAAAATATTAAAACACATGTTTTCTGAATCAGCGTGAGTTGCACTATCCAGTCACGGATAAAAAATGCCAGAATAAAAACCTGCTGAATTTTCTAATTTCCGGCATCTTATCTGTGGTAAAATTTTGACCTTCATCGGTGATCTCCTTCTAGTCAAAACCGTGGCACGGACAAGTTCATCGTAGAAAAAGTAGTTTTAAGAAAAATGCAAAATAAAAATACAAAAACTGATGAGACTTCCAGAAAACTCGGTGGGGGAATTTTAAAGAACTTTTAGAACGTCGGGAGTACTGTTCCATCCGAAAGAGGGATGTGAATAGCCTATAAATCAGTGAAAAACCAAAAATTGATTTTTTTTAAATTTTCAACTCACGTCCTTAAATTATATGTTTCCGCAAGTAAAAAGTATGAGTATACCCCAACGCAGTAAAATCTCACTTTAAATGCGTGCACCAAAAAGCAATGTAACTGAGTGAAGCGCGAAATTATGAAAAGTCGAGAGTTTTTGACACTCTGAAATGCCATGTGATGCTTTAATCGCTGAAGCGACACTTGACGCAGTTGACGTGTCACTTGAGAGAGCTAAGTTTCTCGTAAAGTCGGTCCTTAGTCACTTGTTACCAATATTTTTTTCTCCTTCCCGTTACTCCCTCGTTCCTATTATACTCCTTTATGATTACTATATGTAATGACTTATGGATGTAAACTGTATAATTTTAGTTAAAAGTTTCATTCGTTTGAATTAAGGATATCACCCGTTCATTTCGGGCATTGTTAGAAAATGTAGGGACTAATGTTTGATTGGGCTGATGGATACTTCAGATCCTGTTTCAGATTCTAAATTTTTTTGTTTTTACATTCAACTTTCGGCGCGAGAAAATTTTGTAAAATCAAAGACGAGTTTTTAACGTTTTCAGTATTTTTTCGAATATTTCCAAAAGAAAACCGTATCTTTTGCAAAAAACTTTAGAATCTAAAATGGTATCTGAAGTATTGTTGTTAAAAATTTTCTCACGGTTGGCCCATTTTTTTCGAGAAGTTGTGGCGTAGAAATATCCAAAACATTCCTGGTAGATCTATGAATACCAATATGTCGATATTCTTTTCTGATTGTCAATCTCTGATAAAGATTCTATTTCGATTAAATATGGGTCCCCACAGTTTCCAACAACATCAGACAAGAGGAAGAATGTATTCTTAATTAGTCAGGATGTTACTAACAGTGTCATTTTTTGAACGGTTTTTTTACTATTAATCAATGTAATTTTAAATTTGGTTTATTTTTCAATCTTTTTTAGTTGAATTTTAATAAAAATGTTTGAAACATACACTTTCTCTTCTATACTTTTAACATTGTTTGAAATTGACAATGAATTTGTAACACAAATTCACGGAGAGGCAGAAAAAATTCTAAACTTTTTTCAGGAATATTATACATAATTTTGTGTTTAATTCGTAATAAATCACAACTTATACTTTTTGAATGATTGTTGAAAGTGATGAACAAGAACCAATTAAAGATGACCTGCAGGGGAATTAGTTTTAGATTTTATAGACTGAGTGGAGAATAGTTGAAACATACTGTATCCTAGTTTCGTAATCTTATTCAAGTGGTATATGGCCTTACAGTTTACATTTACTAGTTTGGTACTTTGTTTTATTTCTGTTTCTAACATTTATTCAATAGTGTAATTATCGTATAGCATGATTTATTCTTTGTAGTTATTGTGTCACTATTTAGTATCAAAACAAATGATAAGAAGATAATTCTGCGTAATAGAACGGTCAATAGAAGTGCAAATAGTACAGATAATACTGTTTTGCACAATGAAAATATTGAAATTTGTCGTTGTTAAACATATGTAATCAATAAGAAACTGATAATCTACAATCGCAAAGAATATGTTATATATGTATAATCGCCAGGCCACACATTGATTGAAAATGCTACAAACAATAAATGTCTGTGCATTGGTTGATTATTGCACATGAACATACTGTAGAATACATATAGAAAAGGAAACAAAGGCTAACTGTTCCTTCTTCTAAATATTCTTATCTGATTGTTTATCTGACTATGTCCATTTCAGACATCTCAATCGACTACTAATCGTCTACTAGTCTTCTAAAATCATTCAAAAAATGAACTATAAACAGTTAGTTCCTTATGGTGTTTAACTACCAGGAAAAGAGAAAACAATGATTTCATAATGATAAATTGACCCCTATAAAAGCATTGACAAATAATAAAAGTATTCATTCTTTTTGCATGATTTGTATGTCTATTTTCTTGTTATAGATTAATATTTTTCTTGTTTTATCTAGTAGTTTTCATGACTTAATAGTTTGCATTTAATATAGAAAAGCCATCAAAAAAATAAAATAAAATAATGGGTTCGAATGCTAGTATCATGCTACAACAAGACGACATTCAAAATATCTGTCAAGAGACAGGTAAACTCCTATCAAATGTTTGGCACACTTGTTCTTTTGATAGTACAATTAAGTTTTATTTTCGATATAAAGACAAATTTCTCGACTAACGAGTAAATTGAAATGTTTATCTAAACAGGTTTTACATCAAAACAAGTTCAACGTTTATATAGTCGTTTTAAATCATTGGATAAACGTAATTGTGGTTTTTTAACACGTGAAGATTTACTATGTATACCAGAAGTTAGTATAAATCCACTTGGTAAGAAAAATAAGTTTATAAACATTTTGAATAGATAAATTGAAATGACATTTATCATTTAGGCGAAAGATTAATCGATGTCATTATACAAGATTTTGGTGAAGGCAATAAAATTAATTTCAAACAATTTGTTGTTCTATTAGCAAGATTTCGCCGTGGTAAAACGAAAATATCAAATGAATATAATACAAGAGAAAGTAAATTAAGGTTTTTATTTGATGTAAGTAGGATAATATAGAGAATCTGAAAAATCACAACAGATTTATTGTATATTTCTTTTGTGTAGATGTATGATAGAAATCATGATTTAAAAATTGATCGAAATGAATTACTTGAAGTATTGAAGATGATGGTAAATAAGAAAAATGGCGATACAAATTATTCTAAATATAAATTTCTCATTTGGTTTGACTTTTAGGTTGGTGGTAATATTCATGGTTAGTATCACGTTTGATTTTTCTTTACTGGTAGAAGTAAACTTTTTACAGTCTTGATCTCATGTACTATAGAAGTACACATTCACATGTATCAGTAGTATATAAGTTCATCTAAAGCGTTAGATCGATCAAAGGTCAAACTTTTAGATTCAAAGATAAATCGACTGTAGTTTGTACAAAAGAACACTGTACTATTTTCTAATTTAAGATGAACAAATTGCAACAATAGCCGATCATACAATTGGCGAACTCGTAAGTACTAATGGATTCGATTGTTTTTCGCATAATGTTTTAACGAAAAAAGATGTAAACTTCAATCAAGTGAGATTTTGGTTTCTAATGGTTCGAGCGTAACATTCGATTTCTCTAGAGTGCTGGTACTCGATGACCTGAAGTATTCTTGAACATACGTAACGTTATAATGACATGAAAGTTTTTGAATAAGGTTGACTTTGTGCGCAAAATCTGACTATAGAATACAAAAAATTAAACGATTTTGTGATTTAATACTCTTGTTTCTTTCAGAAAACCAGAGTCTGTGTAAAATATTTTTGTATATTTACTCTTAATAGGGATGCAGAGTAGCCCAGATACTGTACATACTACAGTTTTCAAGTCAACTAAGCATAGTTTGAGAGAGCTATGTCTGTTTTATTCTTAGATGAAAATAGCCTAAAAACTCTAATTTTCATCAAACTCGAATTCATCCGATTTTTGAACTTTTTTATAAAATAAACGTTTCGTACATATTCAGTGTAATCGATGACATATGCTCCATGTGTTTTCAATATTATCCTAAGTCACCGAGTACCATCAGTTCTAGTGCTCCAAAGAAATTCAGTGGCATACCCAAACCACTGAAAAATGAAAATTTCACTTGCTCACTTGATTTCTCTTTATGAAAAGCATCACTTCAGGATCTGCTGAAAAGCTTACTCATGTAAAGAATTCTGAATAGCCACATTACTATTAGAGAACAAGACTGGCTTTTTAGAAATCCTCTCAAACTCTACTTTTGAAAAGAATTCTGAAATGTACTTTGCTTACGAGAAGACATCCTTCAATCTTTTCTATCGGTTAGCGAAAACTGCAAGTTTGCATCTCATTTTGTTGAAACGTTATTTATAAAATAACTGAATATATTTTGAATTCCGTAGTTTTATTTCGCATATATTGTCTGAATTTAGGACAGTGACGGTGATAAATCAATAACATTCGAAGAATTTTGTCAGACATTAGAAAGAATCGATGCAGATGATAAAATGAGCATGAAGTTTTTGAGTTAAACTAGCTCTGTATTTGGAAAAAGATTTTTTTGTTGTGTTGTTTCAAATAACTTTTTATTCCTTCTTTTCTATTCTTATTTATTTTAAAGCTAGATATGAACAAGATTTTATTCTGTTAATATGTCTCTTGTTTTGTTTATTGTTACTTTTCCATAGTTATTGGATGGGCTTTTACATAAATTTTATGATTAGGTATTGAAACTAAAAGTTGCTATGTAATGTTTGACTATTTTATTTTGATATCATAGCAGATAAGATTTTGATTGTTAATTATGATCGACTCAAATGATCGTGAACATTGTTAAATAAAGCCATTAACATTTATAATATTGATATTCTCTACTGTTATCCAAAAGATCAGTCAATTTTATTCTTAAAAGAAACTTCTCATATCTCTAGTAATATGTTGAAGACTCTAAATAATAAAAATTTATTTTTATCAGGATAAATGTTTTTCTCTGATATGCTTTTAGTTCTACAAAAAACTTTCGTATATAGACACAATTGAACGGTCATTCTGTGATTCGATTATCGATCGGATAAGTCTTTTTCCTAACTACTTTTTGTCTTCAATTATGTACAATTTATGTATTTGTAGATAGATATAAGACTGTTACTACTCAAAGTCAGCAGGAAAAATGTCAGTACAACATCATCCTCTGACTAAAAGAAATGATAGTACAAAAGGTTCAATCAGTCGCATGAGACGATTATTTGGTTTTGATTTTTCTGATTTTCAATCATGGGATTCTTTTTTGAAATTAATGAATCGTCCGGAAGATCCAAGTTCTCTAGCCGTGTTAAGAATTTTGTTTGGTATGATTTTTTTCACACTCTCTATATTGTTCAAATATATTATACTTATTATTATTTTCATTTTAGGTATTCTTATGATGCTTGACATTCCTCAAGGTATGGCAACGATTTGATTTTTCCATTAAAATTCTATAATATTTATTGTATGATTTATTTTTTAGAACGTGGAATGTCTCATGCTGACATTTATTATCCAAATGAAGATACAGAATGTCAATTTCCATTGTTTAATTTTTTAAAACCATTCAGGGCTGAATATATGGTACTTGTTTATTTCATCATGTTTATAGGTATTTCATTTTCATTTTTATTCCCGTTTTATTCTGTGTTGTTGACTATAAATGTTTCTGTTATATTTAGGAGCTGTTGGTATTACTCTTGGTTTATTCTATCGTTTATCAACAATATTATTCACAATTCCGTATTGGTACATATTTTTCTTAGACAAAACATCATGGAATAATCATTCCTATTTATACGGTTTAATTGGTTTTCAACTGATGTTATTTGATGCACATAGATTTTGGTGGGTATAGATAGAATAATTTCTTATTCCATGCGCTTGCTAAAAATAAGAGGATTCAGGTTACTACTATTCCAGCACATATCCAACGCACATGGTTTTTAATAACAGAACTTCATATTTTTATTTTGCAGAATATTTTCTTTGTCAACATGTGAGTTATTAGTTTTAATTTCGTACATTAGTTTGATTCATCCACTAAATTATTCCACTCACATTGCTTCTTGGGTTATGTTTTTCCATGTGACACAAGACACATACACACATCTCTCTCTCTCTCTCTCTCTCTCTCGCTCACTGGCTCAGGTTTACTTAATGGGTAAAATTGTGATTCATAATTGTTCCATTTGATTACAATTATTCTAATTTTGATACTTTCTAGGTCACTAGACGGTCTATTTCGAAAGAAAATACGTGATTCACATGTTCCACTATGGAATTATACAATTATTCGTTTTCAAGTATAAATAGTGACATATTTTTGATGAAATATATTTTAAATATTTGTTTTATTTAGATTTTTATTGTTTATTTTATTGCTGGTTTAAAAAAAACTGACTTAGATTGGGTAACTGGTTATTCAATGGATACGTTAGGTACACATTGGGTATTTTCACCATTTAGGTATGTTTAACGAGAGAAACTAGAAAAAAAAGTTTTCTCCTCTTTTTTTTTTGTTTAGATCATTTATGACAGTTGAACAAATAACATTAATACTCGTTCATGTGTGTGGTCTCATATTTGATTTATTTATTGGTTTTGTTTTATTTTTTGATCGATCACGTTCAATAGGAATATTCTTTTGTGTTGCATTTCATTTAATGAATTCACAGTTATTTAATATCGGTATGAATAATCTATAGTCATGTTAAAAGAAAAGTACATCATATTTTGTCTCTGTCTGTTTTAGGTATGTTTTCGTATACGATGCTTTGTACAATACCGATATTTTTCCATAACAACTGGCCAAGAAGATTTATAAGAAATAACTTTCCAAAATTTGTTTCATCACTATTTGTTAAAAGTGATACGCCACAATACAGTGAATCATGTTTATATTCAAAAGATGACATAAAATCAGAAGATCAAACAAGAGTGAGAAATACTCGACTATTTAAGATACATCATATATTTATTTGTTTTTCTTTTATAGACACAATCAAAATCGACAACTGTCAATAGTTCTGTGAAATACGCACATACAAAACCAACGTTTCGTCATAAGTTTTTTACAATAATCTCAGTATTATATCTAATGGAACAATCATTTTTACCTTATTCACATTTTATAACAAAAGTAAGTTTAAAATGATTATTACGTTCTTATATCTTAAATAATTTTTTATTATTTTTTTTGTTTCTTGGGTTATAATAATTGGACAAACGGTTTATACGGTTATTCATGGGATATGATGATTCATAGTTGGCACACACAACATGTAAAAATAACATTTTTTGATAAAAATAAACAAGAAATTCATTATCTAAAACCAACAGCTTGGGCAACATCAAAACGCTGGAGTTCACATGCTGATATGATTGTTCAATATGCTCAATGTATTGGAAACAAGCTAAATGAACATGGCTATGATAATATTGATTTAAAATTTGATATTTGGCGATCAATGAACGGTAGATTTAATCAACGACAAGTTGATCCACGCGTTGATTTATTGAACGAAGCAAAATGGAGTCCATTCAGTGATACATCTTGGCTAAAACCATTATTAACAAATTTATCCGATTGGCGAACACGTATGCAACAAATTGAAAATGATTTATCAAATAAAAGTCAAGATGTTTTAGTGACATTTGTTGCCGATTTTCCGGGTAATAAAATTATTTTAAGATTTAGAAATTGTGAGAAACTAATGTTTTTTGTTTCTTTGAACAGGTTTACATTTGGAAAATTTCATTCCTTATGACTTGAATACAACAATTGAAGTTTTAGAAGGAAAAATAATAGTGGAACATATTAGTGAGAAAAAAAATATGACGTTAGATGTTGGTGATAAAACAATTGTACCTAATGGGGATTATCACAACGTTTATACAATATCTTCAAGTCCATCATGTTACATGTATGTTTATATTAATCAATCAGACGTTGAAATTCTCACATTATGGGATAAATATTATAATATAAGCGATAGACTACTCAATGATACCATTGATAGAAATAAACCACATTATCCTGAAATGGAAGATGGTGAGTGAGATATAGTTTTAAGATCAAAATGTAATAAAAATTCTCATTTTTAGTTGATCTGGTTCGATTATCGTACGAAAATGTATTTGAACAAATTCGTGATAAAACATTACATGAATTATTAAATTTATCCGAAGATTATTCGTTAAATAATAATAAAACAACAAATTGGACAACAATACGTTCATCATTTGAGTCTAGTATGAATAAATCAATTGTTAAACGTTTAGAATACAAATTAAATTGGAAAGAAAGAACGCAGAAACGATTTAGATCTTTTTTCAATAAAAAATTGATACAATTTAAACGATGGTAAAATGATTGTTTATAATTATTAATATAATTATAATTGTTCATATTTCATTATTGACATATTGTTGTTATTTCTCTCTTTTAGTTATCATATAGTTGAACTTGCATTTCGAAGTGTTTTTCTAAAAGAAGATTTTTTTCAGTTGGTACAAGATAAATTTTATAGTGACGAAGATTTAATTGATGATAATGAAGCAGAAATGACAACATTAAAACCTACGAAAGTACATGATACAAAAAAGACAGCGGGAGATAAATCAGATCGTCGTGATTCAACAAAATCATCCTCAAAGAAGAAGAAATAATTCAATAAAACTGGTTTTAGAAATGCATAATGTCAACACACAAAACTGTGATGAACAACAATACTCAATCTCTATTTTTAACACTCGTTTTTCTTTTTCTCATTCTCGATTATCTGACACCTATTATTTTCTATTTTAAACTATTTTCCGGAGTGGTTTTGCTCTTTTCATATTGAATCTTGTTAGAGTTTTTCTTGTTAAATCTCGGTATATATATACATCTGACTAATATACAGTAAATTGTTTATTATTTTTATTACTTGTCTTGCGTAAGATAACATTTTCGCTTTTTTTCTTAACTCTGTAGAAATATATTTAAAGGATAATAAAGTATGAGTAGAACATATGTATAACAATGCCAAGAAGATCAATAAGCATTCATAGGACTATGATATTTTACACAGTCGAAAGACTAATGGTACATTATATTCTCAATTTATAAGTCAGTTTTGTTGCAAATTTCAAATACTGAAAAACTTTCTTCTAATAGGGAAAGTGAAGCGGTTTTTAAAATGAAATATACAAATTGTTCTGATAATTTTGTATGGATCATTATGTTCTTTAGTACTCCGACTATTTGTAACGATATTTTTAATAAAGAATAAGAACATGAATATAAAAAACGAACAAGAAAGAACAAGATGGTATTATAGCTATCACACGACTCGTTCACTAACGTTTTAAAAATCAGTAAATCACACTTAAAGAAAACAGAATATCTGAATTCATTGAGCAGTCGTAGAAATACTGAAGTGTCTTTTATGGAAAACATGCGATTACATTGTAGTTTTAATTTGTTTATGGATTACAATATCATTAAACTAGAATTATTTTTTGTTGTTACGCTTTTTCTTCTCATCTGTTTTTGTTGTGTCGGTAATGGTTGTCGTGGGTGATTGACTTTCAATAAACTTGACCAAATCATCAATATTTTCCGATCCACGATGTCCTGGTAACAATTCTGATCGAACATAGTCTTTTGCCTTTTTACGATCGGAACGTCTAGTTTTAGTTTTCGAAGAATTGGAAGGTAGTGATGATTCTTCATGAAAATGATTATGTGATGGATCATCACACGATGCATGATTATGATGAGCATTATAAATTGGTACTGTAGTTGTATTTTGTTCTTGTGATGAATTAAGTTTACCGCCTGAAAAATTATTCGAATTTACTTCAGTTTCTCCAGGTGGCGTCGATGGACTTGATGGACTCATAATATTTGTTGTACTGTCTTTCTGATTGGTACTGGAAAGATCAGCCATGTTTAATTAGCTTGAAGAGTTGAAGAGAAAAGTGAAAATAGTACACCGTTTATAGTAGAAGAACGTTTATCTAGAAAAGATAAGCACAATATTTATTTTTATTTCAACTTCAAGAAAATTTGATTAAATCAGACTGAGAATGACTCCAAACGTACGAATTTTCTATAGTGATCTACAAAATACTACTTTTGTTCTCATCATACTTATACATTTATACGGCTGTGCATAAAGTATTTATTAATATGTTACGTTTATTGAGTAAGAAAAGAGCAGATGAGTTATTACATACATTTAGGAAATACATCGTCAGAGGAAACAATGAAAAGAGAATATTTCTTTTTCAAAAGTTATCATATCACTAAATGATAACCATTGTCTATGCGGCATTACATGAACATATAATTAGACGCAGAATCTTCATAACTGTTAAACTAAAACGTCATTCTTCTGATCATAGAGCAGTATACTTCAGAAAATGAAATAAAACGGATAAAAATCTATATCAGTGCTATTCAAACCTGAAAGATACTGATAAAGATTAAGCGTACATACGCGTTCTCCTGTACACATTTATCCATTTATGCAAGAAAACCTTTTATGAATTAAAAAGGTGCAGAGTATAAAAAACCCTTTCTTTTTTCTGGTTTCCTTATCGTTCGTTTACAATAACCAATCACATGGCAGAAAAATTCGAAAACAAGCCATAGGGATAAAGAACACAACAGAACACCTTTTCGAGGTAATGACTCATAACACGGTTGATTATAATGATTTTACAAAAATAAAACTATAAAGCAAAACAAGGTCTTCGTTCTAATATAGTCACGTTCGTGGTGATCTCCCTATTAGCTAGACAAAGTAATCAAAGAGTAAGAATTTTTTGCGCATAATAAGACTGAATTTTCCAACTGGGAATAAAACTTGCCTCATAGTGAAAGATGACGTTTGTACTTTTATACTTCCTAAAATCATATCTTTCCATTTCAATGACGTTTTACCTTAGTAATAGCAGTAAATCAGCTATATAATGAAAAAAGGTGAATTCAACAGAACGCAAGAGTCGGAATTAATCTGAAATTGATTCGGTTACTAATCAAATTAATAAAAAAAAGATGCAGTCCTTGAAAACAACGAGTAAATTGCACGTTAAGATTAGAAAAGAAAGGAAATTTCACAGCAAACAGAAAAGGTTTGTAAGAAAAAATGTTTCCATCTACAAAATATTAATCATACTGACTCATTCTGCATTCCTCTTCTTCGTATGTCCAAGCAAGCTTTACCTTTTTCTGTAAACACATTCTTCAGTCCGAACTAAACATTAATGTTTATCTTAAGTATTAACTTGATTTATCTTTATTAAAACATTTGACAAAAAACAGAATCATGCTAAGGATTGCATTTGCTAATAATGATAAAGTCTGTACTCTATATAAATGTGTTATCAGCTATGTCATATCCTCTCAAAAGCTATACTTGTTATACTCTATGAACATAAAATAAAATATAATCATTTTCTTTCAAATAATAGTATTTCATTTAACTTAGGGGGACAGGAGTAATTTTCGATGATGATCACAAATATAATGACCGTTTGGTCACCTGAGCTCTACTTGAACAAGAGCACAAAATTCGAGTCGAATTTTCTGCTGTAGTTAAAATTCAAAATTTTATAACCCAATTAAACTTCATTGGTAGTTTTGGAGACGTTTCCATATAGGTGACTTCATAAGCCTGACAAAATCAATGGGTAAAAACCTACTGATAGAATTTGAAGTTAAGAAAATCTTAATATATTCGTTATAGCGAAAATTCGACTAAGATTTATTTGGTTTAAGAGTCATTGCACGAGTGGGACAGCGAAAGTTGCTCAATCGATGTTTGAGTTTTGGGCTTAGGATTTTATCGTAGGTAGAGGCAACATACATAGGAAGATTTCCAAAATTTTTTCGTTCGGACTCACTTCGTTAA